GGGTGAATGCCCACTTCGTCGGATGCATCCGACGAAGTGGGCATTCACCCACGAAAGCTTATGCTCCAATACATCAGTTAGTCTTAAAGGTGCCACAGGACTCTCTGTTGCTTTTTACAGATCCAGACTAACACGGCTACCCCTCTGATACTTAAGGGACAATGGATCTTGGGAGGCTCCAATCCACATAAGAAGTCTACATGAGTACGTTCAAGGTAGCAGGTAAGGAATGGCTGCTGCCTGTAAAAACTGAGTCATACATGGACATGTGACTTGCCCATTGTCAAAGTCAGACTCAGGACTCACAATTTGTCAGACCACTCTGTTTATTAGCAAAGCGCTCTGCTAATACACCCAGATAATGTGAGCACCATGCAAGACACAAACTATCTTATTTATACAGATAAAAGGGCACAAACTTAACAAGATAACAAAAGGAAGCAGAACTGTTTACTTGGGTCTAGATATACATATTTTATTTCCTTACTAACTATTACTGATCTCCTGTTAATATCCCACCATTAGCTTAAGTGGACCCATTATTTCATACCTTAATGTTTCTCTTCCTGACAACTATATTTCAACATTCCTTATTCCTGCTTAAAGGAACGTGCAGCATTTCTTTAGTCCATTCTATTTTAACAATATAATTCATTCTACTTTCACACCATGTAACTCCAAAATTCCATCTTGGAGCTGGACTTTACATAGGAGAGAGGAGGAGGTCTCCACCCACAAGAGAAAGTCTATTTAAACTGTGGGAGACCCCTCCATTTTGTCTTCAGCTGGCTAAAGGGATAGCCTCTCCACCCCCAAGGATACCTGAAAGAAACTGGAACAAAGGACAGTAACTACAAGGGGTGTGAGTGATTGCTGCACCCAGACTAGAAGGAGACTAGTCTGTAAAAGGAAACTTACTGGAATTCCTCTAAGGGTGAGTTTTTTATCTGTATTCAGTTTTATTACTGTATTAAGCTTATATTTGTGTGTTTTATTTTATTTTACTTGGTAATTCACTTTGTTCTGTCCGCTATTACTTGGAACCACTTAAATCCTACTTTCTGTATTTAATAAAATCACTTTTTACTTATTAATTAACCCAGAGTATGTATTAATACCTGTGGGGGCAAACAGCTGTGCATATCTATCAGTGTTAAAGTGGGCGAACAATTTGAGTTTACCTTGTATAAGCCTTATACATGGTAAAACGGATTTATTTGGGGTTTAGACCGCATTGGGAGTTGGGCATCTGAGTGTTAAAGACAGGAACACGTCTGTAAACTGCTTCCAGTTAAGTCTTCAGCTTTGGGGCACGTGGTTCAGACCCTGGGTCTGTGTTGGAGCAGACTGGCATGTCTGGCTCAACAAGAGAGGGTGTTGGAGTCCCAAGATGGCAGGGAAAGCAGGGGCAGAGGTAGTCTTGGCACAATAGTTGGCAGCCCCAAGGGGGTTTCTGTGATCCAACCCGTCACACCTGTATAATGTGAACAAAACAAATTATAAGCTGGAAGTGAAAGAGGCAGAGGACATCTATGCGAGCTCTACTTATCCTGATGAATTGCCTCCTGTGACTGAAGAAGTTGAGGATGTGGTGCGGACATTGAAAAGCTGTAAAGCTCCTACAGTAGATAACATACAAACAGAATTAAAAGTGGTGGAGAGTCACTCATCTGAGCATATCATAAGCTTGTCAATAGGATTTGAGAGTCTGAAAAGTGGACCAAAACTTGGAGACAGTCCCTGATAGTCCCTATTTATAAAAAGGGGGATCTGTCTGTCTGTGGAATTTCCCCACAATTTACTCCCTAGTAAAATACTGCTGCACATAATCATTGAGAGAATTGTTCCTATGAGAGAGTATTTTTTTTTCGGCTGAAGAACAAGCCAGGTTTAGGCCCAAGAGCGGTATAGTGGAGCAAATATTCAATCTGTATGTGCTATGCAAGGAAGTGTTGGAGAATGATGGGAAGGCAATCCACGTCTTCATGGATTTTGTTACAGCATTTGCAGCACATTGCAACAAATCTCTTTAGGCAATACTGAAGCTGGTTGAAGTTGGTGAAAATGTAACAAGGCTGATTCAAAATAACTATGGAAGTGTGATGGCTTTGACATTTGTAGGGCATGAGTATTTGGTTTGACTTGAGGACAGGTGTCAGGCCTGCATTCTGTCACTGACTCTTCAACTGTTATCTTGAATAAATTAAGAAGCACAACTGATGGCAACCTACAGGAAGATATAGCTATTGGCCAAAACTAAACATTCTGTGCTTTGCTAATGATATTTGCCTGATTGGACCATCACAAAAAGAGGTGCAAAAAATTCTAGACAGAGCTGCACTGGAAGCAGAGAAGTTAAGTTTAAAGAAACCACATGAAACGTCAAAGACAATGGTGACATCTAAGTCTGGTGACAAGGTGAAGATGAATACCCAAATCTGAAGAGGCATTAGAGTGCATTGAGCATTTCAAATACCTGGGTAGTATGATTACAAGGGATGCTAAACTTCACTTGGAGTTCCAACATAGAATTGGACTTGTGACTGCTGTTCTAGTGACACTTGGCCATATTTGGAGAAGCAAAGTTATTTCTAGGAAGTGTAAAATGAAATTGCTTCGGCATTTGGCTATGTGCATGTGAGACATGGATGCTGAGGAAACAGGACATTAAGAAGCCTTCTGTCTTCAATTTGAAATGCTGCAGGTGATTGCTGCACATTAGCTATACCTTGCACACAACTAACAAATAGGTAATCACACACATTTCCAGCATAACCAGAGTGAAACCTGATATCAGTACAACCAGACAAAGAAATCATGAACTCATGGGACCTGTGAGTCGGATAAGCATAGGAAGATTGCCAAAGCAAGTTTTGAAGGGATTGGTGCCAGGTGACAAGGGCAGGTTCTCCCCCCCCTCCCCTGGCAAGTGTGGGTCACTGATGTGACTGACTGGACAGGATGCGGTATGGCACACTTCTCAGGGCTGTGAGAAGATCATGAAGTGTGGAGGAAGAGATTGATGGCCAATTACTCCCCTTTACTTTTCATTGTGATGTGACTTTATAGTGCTTTGCACTGTGATAAATATAATAATAATAATTAATAATAAATCAGAATGACAAATGTTTTAGATGTATTTTAAAATGAGCTGTGATACACCAAGGGTTTTTCCATCATTGTTTAGGATTTTAAAATTGTGTTCCCGATTTCTTATCAAAAGAGTTGGCTAGACATACCCGGCCAAATGCAGTCCATCGATAAGCAAGTACAGCTTCCATGGAAATCTCTGGAGCAGATTCACAGGGGCAAGATCATGGCCTGATCTCATGTAGCCCACAGTGAGGAGGACATAAGGTGCATAACCTTCCCCCACCCATTGCATAGTCCACAGAAAATCCACTCTAGCAGGCCCTGCTGTCAAGAGAGCACAGGATCTGCTTTCAAATTCTTCTTGCTCTGAGAGCAACTTGCCAAAAGAGGGGGCAAGAACTGGTGGAGAATAGAAAGAGCCATAGTTCCACACACCCACTGTTCCCTACACCCGCCAGCAGAGCTGTCCAGCCTCACTGGGGGCACATGCTGCACTCCTTCACAGGACATGGCAAGTTACTCAGAGATCTCCAGGAGGCACTGTGCCTCTCTGAGATAGAGATCCAAAACTAACAGAAAACAAAAAAACAGCCAACCAACAAGATAACCCAAGCAGAGTTTTCAGACCCCAATAAGAGAGAAGGGCCAGAGACCCCATGAAGTCCACCTGGCACTTTGCTATAACTGATTCTACATGGAAGGTGCTCAGACACTGCAGTAAGTGTCCGTGGAAACCCTAAGACAGATTTGCAGATAAATCCTCCCTGTGCTTCCCTTGTGGACATGAAGCTTTACACAGCTCATTGCAACGGACAGTGGCTTCAAAGGGTCAATCTAGACATTTGTGACCTAAGCAGTGGTGTGTGTTAAACAATGCAGCGTAAATGGGTGCAGATGGTAAGTGCTACTTGTGACAACTTGGCGTTTAGTGAATGTGCAGAACGACTGAAATTTACAAACAAAAGTCTAGCTTCTGTCACCTATACTCACCAGGAGTTATACTCACTGGATTCTATCCTGTTAAATCATGAGTAGTAATTGAGGGTAATTTCCATTTATTTTTAATTTTGAAGAAGTAAAAACGTGTTTAGAAGCTAAGTACATTGCTTCTCAAGCCCACGCAGAGGAGGACGATGTGTTGACAGATCCAGTTGACATTAAGTTTTCCAAAAGTTATTCTTTGACACAGAATTTCAATAGTTCTCCCTCCTCCTCCGCATTTTTGTTTATACTGTAGCTTTTCTCTGTGCTTATATTTTTTGCATGACATAAATTATACTAATAGCTAATGTCATGGGAATACATCTCTTGTTGGTTTAACATTGTTTACCAATTTTTTTTCTCCCTTCATTCTTTAAACTATAATTGTCATTTTCCCTAAAATATGTTAATGCTCTCCAAGATTTTCTGTTGTATAATCTTAAATGTATACGTGGAATTGAAAACAATGGGCCAGATACATCACTAGGCACTGGCTGCTTTGAGCCACTCTAATGTAACAAACAGACCTAACTCTACCTTAATATTGGCTCAGTCCTGCCAGGTGCTGAGCACTCTGACCCAAGTCCAGCGAATCATTTAAACATATGGCTTCAGTGGGACTATGCACTGGCTTAAAGAGCACGCTTACATGCCTCACTGGATTGGGGACAGAGCATTCAGCATCTTGTAGTATCCAAGCCCTTTGTGTACATAGAGCCCAATGTGCAATGAAGAGGACAGAGCCATGTCCTTTGTTTTTTATGTCTTAGGGCAGCAGTTCTTAAACTGTGGGTCAGGACCCCAAAGTGGGTCATGACCCCATTTTAATGGGGTCACCAGGGCTGGTTTACACTTGCTGGGGTTTGGGGCTGAAGCACAAGCCCCACTGCCTGGGGCCGAAGCCGAGGGCTTCAGCCCTGGGTGGCAGGGCTCATGTTACAGGCCCCCTGCCTCGAAATGAAGCCCTTGAGCTTCGGCTTTGCCTCCCCACATCCTCCCCAGGGAGGTGGGGCTTAGGTGGGCTCAGGCTTCAGTTCCTCCTCCTGGGGTCATGTAGTAATTTTTGTTGTCAGAAGGGGGTCGCAGTGTAATGACATTTGAGAGCCCCTGTCTTAGGGTGATTGTTGCTTATTGATGGCAGAACAAAACAAAGCCATGAGTGAATTATCCTTGGTCATTCCAAAGGAATGAAGCAATGTATGGAGCAACCCCCATTTAAACAAAACTCTTCATTATCCAAAGGGCCTTCTTGTCTCCTGACAGTAGTACCTACCATGTGTTGCACACCTGCTTGCCCTGTTTTTTCTGAAGGTTTTTGCCAACTGAGGTTGTACCATATTACTCTGAATTCTGGCCCATACCGTATTTCTACCAAAACAGAAGACACCTGAGGCTATATTGTGGGTTTAAGGGCATGTCTATGCTACTGCTTAAGTCAATCTAACGTATGTCGTTCAGGGGTATGAAACAGGCACCCACCTGAGTGACGCAAGTTACAGCCACTTAAGCACTGTCCATACCAGCACTATGTTGGCGGGAGACGCTCTCCCACTGACATTACTCCACCTTCATGAGAGGTGAAAGCTATTATGCTGATGGGAGAGCATTCTCCAGTTGGCATAGACCATCTTCACCAGCTGCACCGATATAGCACTTCTAGTGTAGACTAGTCCTAAGTCACAACCCTATGTTAGGGCTAGTGTGGTGCAGTATGCATTCACTACCCTGCTCAAATGGCCAGTTCTGCTGGGCAGTGCAGATGGCAGATAGGAATGGCAAGTGTGCTTGCCTCTCTGCGGGAGGAAGTTGGGAGCAAACAGAAAAAATTCTCCTTCTGGCCTATCTACATATGAGTCAGTCACAGTCTGGACCCTTTTAATTATTATAGGGTGTGATTTTCATAGCTGCTGAAATGCAATTGGGGAAATAAAATGACAATGTATTGACAGTGGTTCTTAATAGCATTATAAACATAGGTAACTCCAATGGACCAAAAGATAGATAAATAGTATGTTAAGAGAGTTTCTTAGTCTAGTGAGGTGGACTTTGTTTAGAAAAGAGTTGCTTTTGACTTTGCCAGTATGGGTCCAAGCTCTTTCCAGAATGTGTCCTTTGTCTCCTCTTTGAGATTTCATCAGCACTATTTCTAATGGGTAGGAACTCTCTGAATAGAGATGTTGCTCATCCAGACGTATTCAGAACTCCAAGGTGGAGTCTGTTTCTTATTGCTTGCTTTAAAAGTCACTTATCAGATTGTCTTTGAAATTCGTTCGCTTCTTGTTTTTATTTCCTTAGAAACACAGCCAATAAGGAATGCAGAAGAAGCCAAGTGGCACTGAAGAGAAAGCTGGAGTAGAAATGTAATCTTTCACTCAGATTGAAATCTTTTCTTCTACTGCTTTCTCTCTGTCTCACCTGAGATATTGTTCTTTGTGTGTTCCTCTCTGGGAAGAAATATTCAACACACTTTTAAGCAGCTTGATTTTATTGGGGAAGGTGATGATGAGCTGGAGGTAACATGAGTCAGATTAAGTGCTTTCAGGTGTTGTGTCTCACTCAGGCTGCTGGTTTCCTTTCCCCCCTGATAATGTATTTACAAGGACAGGTCTTTTCTCATCTTCATTTGTGCACATCACAAAAAACACCTCGTTATTTGAGACAATTGGCAACTGTCCCTGCTCAGGATTGAAGAAGCCGAGTTTGGGAAGGTCAGTTTTGATGTGTATTGGCAGAGCTGCACAATGCTCCATGAGTGAATTTGTCTAAGCAGTACTAAGTCCCCCTGCATTAACCATACTAACTTTTTTAAAAAGCATTTCTGTTTATACATCAGTGCTAGATTGTATCCTGGTTCTACAAGGCCATGCAGGGTATCCAGGGAGATTAAAGACCCACCCTCCAGTGGAGCCACATAGAATCAGCCCAGATTAGGGCTCTGAGTTTGGGCAGGTTAGCAGGGGCTGTGTGTAAGATAACCTATCCCACAACATCAAATGGATGAGGAGAGGCAGGGAGTGGGTGGTCCCTGTTTACAGAACATTCTCATGGAGAGGAATGATGGTCTGGTAGTTAGGCTGCTAGCTGGGACCCTGGAAGATCTAGGTTCAAATTACTGCTGTGTCATGTGTGATGATTGTTCTCTTTGTGCCTCAGTTCCCTCTCTGTAAACTGGAGACAATAACACTTCCCTACCTCATGCGGGGTGGGGGGTTGTGAGGATAAATATGTTAAAGATTGTGAGGTGCTCAGAAATTATGGTACTGCAGCCATATAAGCCTACCTAAAATAGATGATTGTGTGGAGCTTTAGCTCTGTAAAAACAGTTTATTGCATAGCATCGTGTGTGCGGGGGAGATTAAATTATTCCCCCACTTCCCACCCCTACAACATACCCTGGTCAAGAGTGTTCACTCTCTGAGATACAATTCTTTCCAGGGCTTCTCCAAGAGTGGGGCATCTACATGCCTCCTCATAATCAGGGCTGAGTCTAAAGTTCCATCTGTTCCCTAATGAGTACATGCCTGTATAAATCCCATGTAATTTACCTTGCATTTAAAAAAAAATGAATGGGGAGTGGAAGTTCCATCTTTGTATTTATTTTGCCTCATAAATATGCATTTTCCCCATGACCCTCCTGCATCCTGGCACAGAACTGTGCTGTTTTTCATTTTACCATTATAGAGTGTCACATAAACAACCAGTTCCAACAGAGACACAAAAAATCTTACACTCAGCTGAGCCCATAGCTTTCCTTTAATAATCAAATGCTTCATGTAATCCTTTTTAAACTGACCATTATGAATGTCTATTTGATCAGCCTGTGTGCTTCCTTTGGATATCTGATTAGCCAACACTGTATTGCATGCTTTTTTTTTCCCGGTCAGAAGGCATCTATCTTCTACTAATGTGGTTCCCGTCACCATAAGATGCAAAGACTTTTCATGTATTTAAAAATAGAAACAACAATTTTTTCTTTCTTTTTCCCAGCCACTAGGAAAACCAGCTTGATTAGTTTATAGGTTGGTTGGTTGGTTGTGTAGATTTGTATGCAAGGATAAGTGTGTGAGCTGTGTCTCTGTGTTTGTGTGCATATGGAAATGATTGTGGGAAAGCTAAGTTGAAGAAAGGAGTCTTGCTTTTGGTTCTGAAAACGATTAGTTCCCTTGTCATCCTTCTCTCTTACGGCAGTGAGTTCCATAGTCCAGTTCCTTTGGAAGGTCTCTTTCCTGCACTCTGAACTGCCTCTTCTCTGGAGAACAGTTTCATTGTTCCAGTGGAAGGCAGCTGTCATGCGAGGTCATGATCACAGGGGGAGAACTGATCTCTCATCTAGCTAGGACTTACCCAATGGAGGGCTTTCAATGCTAGGATAAAAACCTTGCACTATCTGGACTCCGTGCAGAGCACCAGCATGATGAGTTCATGGTGACCTGTATTCCAAAGATGATGGGCTGCTGTATTTTGTACCAGATTATCTTTTTCAGGGTTTTATTCCAGATAGTTCAGTGGAACAATACTGATTTTCAACAGCTGAAGTTACATCTAAATAAATTGCAGCGCTAAAGCCTGGACATGGATCATGAAACCATGGATGCCATGGCCAGTTCTGTGTCTGACAGGAGAGAGCATGATTTTCTAGCCAGTCAAATGGAAATGGGTGTCTTTTGCAGCTATGGCTATTTTGAGCTTCCAGTACCACTGGAGAGTCCAAAAGAGTCCAAGGCTGCAGACCAATTTAATAATCAGAGGGCAGGTGCCTTTGATTGGGGAGGAATGTTATAGAGGAGGCAAATTCCCCAAAGCAATCCCTCTTCCCATCAGCGTATCCGCAGGCAGCTGCTTTTCATCCAATTAAATAGGTGCACTGAAAAACCCAAGAGATCTTTCAGCTCTAACCTGAGACTCATCAAAGTGATATTGCTGAACCCGTCTTCTGGCTATTGCTGTGGACAAACACAAGGCAGTCCTGCTCCTGCAATAGTGTCAGTCTAAACCCAAGTCATGGCATCCACTTAGCACCTCTGTGGGAGACCTAAATGGATTTTGTAAATTCCATTGGTAAATTAGTGCTAGAGCCATTCACATAAATCTTGCCAGTGGAATAATTTACCACAACTGTACTATTATTAATGTTCAGTAAATTAGGTCCATAAAACAACATTTGCCTTGCCATTAACAGAAGATAATCCACAAAGCTAATTTCAACCCCCTCTTTATTTTTTTATAATGCCCTTCAGCTCTCTAAGCGGCATGTACTCATCAGTATATTGATAGCACTAATGCAGCATACTCTTCAGATCAATTACTGAACTAGGGAGACTAGTACAGACAATCTTTACTTGTGGTCTGAGAAAAAAATCATTATTTATGAGAGCAAACAAAACTGTATCATTGTTCTTCAATACAAAACACATGTTCCTGGGAGCACCAGCCATTTTCAGACTATCATTAGTCAAAGTACAGGTTAGCCCATGACAATATTGGTGATTTCAGAATCTGGCTGAATTGACATCTTAAAACAAAACAAAACCCCAACCCTGGGAACAACCAAGACAAACAAAAATGATTAACAACCACTTTAAAAGGTAGCCAACGGACAAGTGTCACAGAGCATGAGACAGCTTCATTATGTGTGTTACTAGCAGCTCTTTTTCTTATGTTTATAAATAAAAACCCCAAGCCCTATGTTGCAATAATATAAAGGCTGTGTGAACATTGATGCCCGATTCTTAACACACGGTGTTGTATTTAGGGGGAAAGTCTTAATAGTGTGTAGGTAATCAGCCCGATCTCTCCATTTTCTGATTTTTTTTTCATTTAAATTGAACTCTTTAAGTGCAAGGCTGTGAGTTGCTGAGCATCCTCAACTCCTGTTGAACTCAGTGGAACATGAGGATGACCAACACAAGATCAGGCCCTTACTCGGGGCTTCTGCAATGAATGTTTGCAGAAATGTTTTGATGTGAAGATGACATCAGAATACCCAAGCAGAAGAGTCTTTCTGGACAGTGCTTCAGGTATAAACAGCTATGTGGAGAATTGTCCAGTCAAGATGATGACCATACTCAATAAATAATCCCCAGAGTAATGAGTGTAAAGGATTCCAGCCTCAGGAGGTGGATAGCATGATTTGTAGGCAACATAAATATCACTGTATCATTACACAGTTTGGATTCAATGGAGGTAAGTGGAACAGTGCATAGTCTGTGTGAACACTTTTGCATGTGAGGTTTTTATTCCGGAGTCCAACTGAGTAAACCCAACCTGACTCTCAACTTTGTTCTCTCTGGAGGAATCTCTTTCAGAAGACCATATTCTAACCCAGCACTTCTTCTGGAGAAAGGCATATCTCCACAACTGTGCATAGTCTGATTTTATTTATACAAACAGAATACAGCAAATTCTAACATCTGTCTTTTTATCTGTATTTTTCTAAGTGCAGTGAAATAAGGGGATGTGATCCATAGAAAGTAGGCATGTTCTGTCTACAGCTCTACTGCCTGCACAGCTACCCCCATCCCAGAAGTACTCATATGGGCTCAACATACTTGAATTTATTCTGTCTATAGATGGAGTGAGTGAGTGACTGACTGACTGACTGACTGCCAAGGATCATGTCCATCTTTGTTCTCCCACCTGGACCATTCATGCTATGCAAGCAGAGGTGGGTGAAGAGTGCTTCTGCAGGTGTCAGCTGGGATTCACCAGGGAACCTACAAGGGAAAAGTAGGAGAGAGAAGAACTTATAACCATGCAGCACCAGCCAGGGAACATGATGTGGAGAATAGGGATGTTGGTCCTAATGTGGTGGGGGAGGGGGCAGAAAGGGCACTTCCCCCACCTAGCAGCCTTTAGGTATATGCATGATGCCATTGCAAACATATTATGCAATTAACAAAAGGAGGCTCAGGACACAAATCTTCAGATGCTCCAGTGTTGCGACCTGAGGGCACCAACCAACCACGGCAGCACCCTGTGCCCCTCCACCACAACCCTAATTCAAGCTTGCTATGGAAGGAACACCTTAGAGGGCTGTAAAGTGTGCCCACCCTCCATTCACCCAGCAGTGGTGAGCCTGGCTCCCCATTCCAGGTGTTGTGACAAGGGTTGTCAGGTGTCCAGTTTTCAACTAAACACCCACTCGAAAAAGGACTCTTCCCAACCCTCCCCAGTCCGGTGAAAATGAGTGAGTGAATGAGGGTTGGGGAGAACGAGCGAGGGAAGGAGGGAGGATGGAGTGAGCGGGGTGGGGCCTCAGAGAAGGGGCGGGACAAGGGTGTTCAGTTTTATTCAGTCAGAAAGCTGGCAACCCTAGTTGTGACATTGCACACAGGTCATGTGACACTGTTACCCCACACATCGTGTTGCAACACCACCCACTCAAATTTGGCCCAGCCACCCCTCCTGAATAGCACTCTGACCCTGTGTGCAGGTTACAATACCTGGAGAGGGGAGCTGGCCGGGCCTAGCCCCATGGGACAGGAGTCACTGCTGAGAGATGAGAGCAGGGTGGGTTCACTCTCCAGCCTTTCCCCTCCCTTCCCTCAACCTTCCCCTGGGGGCCAGGATTAGGATTGTGGTGCAGCAGGAAGGATGCTTCTGTGGGTAGTCAATGCCTTTTTGATGCGGCAAGGAGGAGGATAAATATACCCATTGACTAGGGAGACTCCATGCACCATTTGGTGGTCATAATACACAGGCATGTTAACGTGTGAAATTAGCAAACCAATAGAGATATCTGAAAGTGGCACCCCCAACAACCATCCTCCCTGGCTGCAAAATCTGGCTCCATCATTGGTGGAGCCCTCCTGCAACAGCTGGGGGGACAGGAGTGATAGCCAGCAGCAGCAAAATTCTCAAATTGGGAGAGGAAGGATGTTCTCACTTCATCCCATTGGGTTCTGGATTCCTGGAATCTGCTGCTGCTACCCCAGATTCTCACCTCAGAGTACAAGGTTTTGCCACTCTCTCATTTATATGAATCTTTGGCCCCTGATAATCCACTGCTGTTGCCACAGTATTGCTGCTGAGCTCCTGCTCTCCACTGGAGTCCCTTCTGGCCTCGGATTTCAGTTTGCAGTCCTCAGTGAAATTTGTGCAACATTCACTCACTCACACACAGAAGAATTTATAATATAATATAATTTATAATATAATATATCAAGTCATGCATAGTTTTTTAGAACATGGCAGTCACAGAATCCATGACTCCCATAGTAGAAATCCAGCTTTGGATCTAATAAATAATGTATTAGACATTTTTTCTTTCTGTATATGGTGGCTTGCTTCATGAGACATGCAAATTAGTTCCATCCTACTCTTTAGTGAGTACAGATGCTCTCTCGGCTTTTGTTACCTGTTAACCATAAGTTATTATTTACAGAACTCTAAAATTTATTGGGAAGGGTTAGTTAATTGAAGGAACAAAAGGGAAAAACCCAGACTGTTGCCTAGTGTATGAATTAATTGTACGAAACAGTTATCTGAAATTTAGTCTGAAAATGGAAAATAAAATTAGCAACAAAATTTCAAATCTGGTGGTACAGGACCTTAAAGGACAAAAAGAACTAGGCCTTGTCTAAACTACAGTTTTGTCAAAAAAAAAAGTCAGCTTTCGTTGACAAAACAGTGGAAGTGTACACACTGAAATACTCCTCCCACCAAGGTAACTTCCCGGCTACACCAACAAAATAAAGCCACCTAAATGAGCAGCATAGAGCTTTTTGCGATGTAGTTAGCCAAAAAAGGCAGCGCCAGAGGCCTTTTAATCTAGCAAAGGCACATTCAGTGGTCATTCGGCACCTGCTGAGCCTGTTGTTGAAGCGCTCCTTGCTGCTGTCTAGGTTCCCAGTGTAAGGCTTCATGAGTCGCAGGAGTAAGGGTTAGGCTGGGTCTTCCAGGATCACTATGGATATTTGCACATCCCCAGTTGGAATCTTCTGGTCTGGAAAGAAAGTCCCAGCATGCAGTTTTTATACAGTCCAGTGTTCCTAAAGATGCATGCATCGTGCACTTTCCCTGACCAACCCACATTGAAATGGCCCCAGTGATCCACCAGTGCCTGCAAGACCTTGGAGAAGTAGCCTTTTCAGTTGATGTACTACATCACAAGATGGTCAGGGGCTAAAATTGGGATATGCTTGCCATCTATCACCCCACTGCATTTAGGGAATCCCAATGCCTCAAAGCCATCAATTATTTCCTGCACGTTACCAAGAGTCACAGTCCTTTATAGCAGGAGACAATTAATGGCCCTGTACACTTGCATCACAGCAAACTCCACAGTGGCCTTTCCAACTCCAAACTATTTGTGATTAACCATCTGGATTTCCAGCTTCCACAAAGTGATCGTCACTCGCTTTTCCACTGTGAGGGCAGATCTCATTGTGGTGTCCGTGCACTGCAAGGCAGGGGTGAGCTCTGCACACAGTTCCAGGAAGGTGGCTTTGTGCATCCAAAAGCTCTGCAACCACTGCTCATTATCCCATACCTGCATAATAATACAATCCCAGTGCTTGTTTCCCAAGCCCAGTACCAACGGTCCACCATGTGCAGCTGCTCTGTGAATGCCAACAGCAATAATGAATTGTTCCTTTCCATTACACACAGCATGGCAGGCATCACAGATTCGCTTTCTGTTTCCCACCTCATGAAATACTGCAGGACCAGCCACATTGTGTTCATAACACTCATCACCAGACTGGTCAGCAGTTCAGGATCCATGCTTTCAGGCAGAGATGACAAGCACACAGTTTACAAGGGGCTGTTCAAAAACTGCATGAAACGAAGTAAGAAGCACATGGAATGATGGGACAGAAAGAACTGCATCATGGGATGTTGAACATGCTCCCATGATGCACTGAGATCCGTTCCCAGATCTCCCTGTGGCAGAGGGTGGCGAGTTGTACAGTGGGATAGCTATCCACAATGCAATGCTCTCTCAGTCGATGCAAGAGCACGGAGTGTGGACGCACTCCACCGACCCAATGAGCATTGTGTGGATGTGCACAACCGATGTAATTAAAGCAGCATATGATTGTTGACCTAATTTAAGTCGACTCAAATCTGTAGTATAGACAAGGGCGTAGTGGAGGATTTCACATATCAAGCTATTCCTGAAATCAAATAAAGTTTTACTTTAAATAAATGCTACACTTGGACTTTGTCAGAGAAGTGTATCTGGCCTAATCACCTGAAGAGCTTTACATCTTAAAGGGCTGAACTTCATTCTTTGTAGGTATGCTTGTTGAAAAAAAAAATGCCTCCGATTCTCAGCTGGTGTAAATTAGGATGTCTCCTTTGGCTTCAATGGAACTCTGCCAGTTTACACCAGCTAAAAATCTGGCCTGGTATTCATATTTTTTTTAATGCTTAATAGGTAGAAAATCCTCGTGATACATGTCCTTACTTAAAGTCTTTTTCAATTGTTTTGTTAGCCCTGGGATAATGATGGAAAGACCATCATCGCAATAATAAATTATATTTATATTGTACTTTTCATCTAGAAGACTCCTGAAACACTTCACACATTCTGTGGCAGATTCTCAACTCGCACCACTTTGCATCAGGAGTAATTCCATTCAAATAATTGGAGTTAAACCAGAGTAAAATTGGTATAAGTCATGCCTTGTATAGATTGCTGGTCAAAAAATTTTACATGCAGACCATGAAAAAATTAATATGGAATGAAAATTTTTAATTTTGTGCAAAATTTTTCATGGCATTTCCTGTTTTATTCAATGAAGTAAAAACTACTAGAAAAGAAAGAGGGAAAGAGAATGGCAGGAAACAATTGTGGTCTTCAAAAACTGACATGTTTTCAGATTTTGTTTACTTGAAAAAGTGGAAAATTTTAACCAAAAGAAGATTTTTCTATTTTGGTAAAAAAAAAGCCGTTTTTAATTTAAAAAAGATATTTAAATTTAAAACATTTCAACCAGCTATACTTATATACTCACCCATCACTGAAAATGGTACCAGCTGTGGGGTGGCCCATTTATCTATTCTACTCCATCAATGCTACTTTTAGAAGAGGAAGGGAAGACTAGCTTCATTCACTGAAACTAAATGGGCCCAGAGGGGATTTTAGCTAGCCAGAAAGTAATTACCCAAGCTGGAATTTTGTTAGTGCATTGGATTAACCCTGCCCTTTCAAAATTGTCATGGTGGATATAATGAACACAAATGGCCTGGATTTTAAGTTTTGCCTATAGAATATTTTTATAATTTCACTTTACTCATCTATTTTTTTTAATCATTATTACTATAAATAGTCATGGACTCAACTAAGAACCTAAGTGATCAGTGAAAAATTCAAAGGCTTATTGCTATTTAGATATTATCTTCCAGACAGTATCATCTTGTGAGAGCTAAAATTCACCATCAGACCTGTACCTCACATCAAGCCCTATCTATGAGATACATGGTGTTATATTTTACAGTTTAAAATAAGGAATGTAAGGCCAAATTCTGCTCTCAGTTACATCGGTGCAACTCCAGTGAAGTCAGTTGTGTTGCAACAGTAACAGAATTTCCCTTAGTCTGTCTTTGCTATGGTTTCTAGAACAAAAAGAGTACAAGTCATTTTTAAAGCCTACATTTTCACTTTGTCTTGTACTGATGCTCTCAAACAAGGCAGCTTTAGTTCCGAGCTAGTACAGCTCAACTAAGATACTCAAAGAAATATCCCTGCAGCAACCTTCCATATCTTTAAGACTCCTAGAAATGTTGTTCACATGCTGCTTTGCTGATCCCAAGAGAGAATCTATAATACAAAAAGAATCTGGACTAGAGAAACTGCAAAACAAGTATAATGCTTATGGTTTAGAGAAAGAAAAACAGAATTAGAACTGTTTGGACTTCCAGGAGAGTCAGCTCTGTCCTTGAGCAAACTGATATGGGGAAACTAGACATATAAAGGAGATTCCTGAGCTTTCATTGGGATTGTCTGCTTGCAGAGTTGTGCTGGTTTAACTAAAAGCATTTTTTTAAAATCACACCTTTTGGGGTAAATTGATATAAAAGGCGGTTGGAACAATTTTATTTGAGTTTAAACTCAGGCCTATTCTGTTTAGCTGAAGTCAAGTAAGAACTGGTTCAAGCTAAACTGCAATAAACCAGTCTTAAATCAAAATCCACGTGTCTATACTGCAGTTTGCATCAGTTTCACTAAACAGGGCAAGTTTGTGTGGAGACAAGGTTATTATAAAAAAGTAAGTTTAATCCTGATAATATAAAGCAATCACTAGCAGCTTGGCTCCACTTCTGTCACAGGAGGCTGGAGGACACCCCCCCTTCCAAAAAACAGAGACGTTTTAGATAAGATGAGTCAATTAAGTTTGGGGTGTGTTTTAAAAGATCACTCTCCCCCAAATCCTGAGGCTTAAATTTGTGCACAGTGCTGTGATGATGGTGGACAGGCATCAGTTGCTTTTGGTGTGATCGCACCAAAGAGTCATTTCACAGATCTGTGCCAAAATGCTAAGGCCGCTCTGAGCTCCGATCTCTTGACAACTTCAGAATAAAATTACAAAAAGGTCAAACACCTACTTGTTAGAAGCAGGGTAGTTAAATGAGAGGGGATGAATAAATGTATCTAGTACAGGTAAATTAGTGTGAAATGGGAGAGCAGATTAATGTCAATGGGCTTTAGATCAGAACCTTATTCCAAACTGTCGTGCTCACAACTACTCCAACAATGCTTACCTTCCAAGTTATTGTCAGTCATAATAATAATATAATAAAAATATTTTTGAATATGAAGCACTTATACAGTGCTTCACAGTACAAAAGCACTGCTGAAATGTTAACAGATTACTCCTCACAACCCCTACAGAGCAGATAACTTTTATTATCCATTTGATAGATGGACATACAACAATGGAGAAGTTAAGTGACCTGCATGAAGCCACCCCATGAGCCACTTATAGAGCCAAGATGAAAATTCAGGAGTTTGCGCCTTTTAGCCCTACACTCAAGACTCAAAACTATGTCAACTCTTAATGAACCAAGATCATACTACTAAATGCTATGGTGCCAAAGACAACCCAGACAGGATGCTGATGGGATTTGGGTGACAATGATCTATATATTTCCATGAAACAAATAAACAGTAGTCACTGGAAGAAGATTTGTATGTTTCTTAAAAGGACAAGATGTAATAAAAGCAAACCAGTGGTTTTAAAAAGGAAAAAACACAAAAAAAGAAAAGAAAGAAAGCTGTTCCTAAAAGTAAACTTGAGCCACCAAATGTGTTTATTGTAAAGAGCCTAGCATGTGGTTGCATCACAAATATACAATATCTTGCCTCTAGAATAAACTTCCAAACAGTTATGTTTCCTTTTATAAGAGAACTTAAAGTATGTTTTTTACACCATAGCTTTGCATTTGCTCCACCATTTTCAAAAACGATTTAAAGGGCTGAAACCATTTTTCAAAGCAAGTCCAGAGAAACCACTTAGAGTCATAGCAGTCCAGAGAATCTGCAGAGACAATAAGTAATGTTTTCCTGCTTTGGCACAACAGTTGATAGGCCAAACCTGGGGCCAGCAGCTGTGGAAATTCTTTTGGAGAGGATGATATAGTTGGGCAAGCCACCTACAACTCTTTCCCTCAAGTTAAGTGCTGTGTAATTGGTAAACCCTCTCTGCTGTATACAGCAACAACTTTATCGGTCCTACAAACTTATAAACAATGCAACATATTTTAGGTGCCAGTAGATGGAGCTCTTTAGATTAACTATCTACATATACAACATCTCTCTCATATATATAATTTCTTTAACACCAATAGGGGAGCTAGAGCTACCCAAAAAATGGGAGGACCGAGCTGAGGAGGGGATTGGACCAGGCAAGTTGAGAGATGTGCTGATTCAATGCATCTCCTGGGGAGCCTCCATTGACAGGGCTGGATTTTAAAGCAGCCTTCCCTTGGCATAAACCCAGGGGAAGACAGCCAGTGCTATCCCCACCTCCATTACAGCTGTCTCCACAGGTAGAGGTGAGTCCAATCTGCATAACCTAAACCTACAGAACCTGAACCTGTATTTGGCCGAATCAGTTTCATAGGCAGTAAGGGAGATTTAGATTAGAAATATTTTCCTAATATCTATCTATAAGGGTAGTTAAATTCTGAAATAGGCTTCCATGGGAGGCTGTGGAATCCCCACCATTAGAAGTTTTTAAGAAGAGGATGGACAAACACCTGTCAGGAATGCTCTAGATTTACATGGTCCTGCCTCAGTACAAGGTGCTTGACTTGACCTTTCAAGGTCCCTTCCATCCCTACAATTCTATGAACTTATCAAGGGGTTGTGGTGAATTCTCCATCACGTTAAGTCTGCATATCAAGACTGGATATCTTTAAAAAAAATATGCTACAGTTACAACAAAAGTTATGTGCTTGATGCAGGAATCACTGAGTAAATTCTGTCTATGGCCTGTGTTATGCAGGAGATCAGACTAGATGATCTTTCTGGCTTTAAAATCTGTGGATCGTGCCAAAGTTCTGTCTTGGATTACTTTTGGGATGGGACAGCCCAGGAAGGAAAGGAAAAGAAGTGAAAACAGAGGCAATCTCTTTTTATTAGAATGCTTACAAAATCTTTTTCTAGTGATTATTGGCTGTACCTAGCAGAAATAACTCTCTTTTGACCTTTGCAGCTATGACTGCCAATATACAGTGTACTCTTCTCTTTCAAATATGTTCATATTCTGGAATTTGCCCTTTGGCTTGTAATGTGAAATAACCGTACAAAGAAGAATCAATATACCAGGACCTCAGAGTGTGTGTGTGCACCCCTGCCCTCTACTAAAACAAATTAATTGCATGTTTATTACATTTTTCTGTACTGGCTCATTAGTAGGGGTCTTTAGTGTGAGACTCAAAAGAGAGGCCAGGAAATTGAAAAATATTGAACCAAACACTCGTCTCAGTTATACCCACTGAAATCAGATGGGATTGTACAGGGCAAATGAGGGTACAATTTGGCAATTATGTTTCATTCATAATGCATTCATAAATATGTACATAGAGTAGGCATGGACTAGCACATTCGTACCAAACCTGATTTTTGAATTTTTCACTAGAAACCATACAAAATTAATATAAATAAAGATCGTGAGCTTATTTTTCCAATATGGATGCCTAACCTGAAGCTCCCAGGTCTGCATCTAGATGTTCAAATTGATAATTTCGTGCCTGAATACTCATGTGTCGGCATCTAGGAGCTAATCTGAGCACTCAAATGCAGAATTCAGAATGCTAAATTAAACAGGGCACTGTGATGAGAGAGTTTTTATCTGTTAGTGTCACCCTTTGGCAGGGCAGGGAGCCACAGCAACCTGGCTCCATTCCCCCCCCCCGCCCCCAAACACACACTTTGCCGTCAGACCCCGACTCTGCATTTGTCAAGTCCTTGTCAAAGACTGACCCCTCCTGGCCAGGTCCTTAATAGTCTCTGTCCCCTTTAGGATAATGGAGAAGCAGTTCTGTGGCTCCAGTGGGGGTGAACCAGTTCTCCAGAGCATAGGAACTTCTTCTCTAAGAGTCCCTGGGATAGGTGAAGGAGTCCAGGTCCACCCACTGCGCTGGGTTCCAGCTCAGTGCCCTTGTTTGGAACATTCAGAACCAATCCTTCTCAGTTCCTTGCTGTTCCCTCAGCTACTGCTTACCTCTGTAGTTTTCCCCAGCTTCTTGCCCTGCTTTTCCCTCTTTCGTGGGTTGGTTGGTCTGGCAGCTTCTCACCCTTCTGCTGGAGGATCCTCTCTTTGCAATCCCCCTTGTCTCTCTGGCAGGGCAGCCACCCCACTCCTGCCTTGCAGCCCTTTTATCTTCACAGCTGCTGTGGGGCTGTCAATCAACTCTGTCTGAGCAGGCAGGCAGTTGCCTTTTTAACCCTTTGGCTGCTGAAACAGCATGGAGTATATAGACCCCCATTATGAGCCCACTATCAATTCTCCAAAAATTGACACTTTTCATTGTACTGCAGCATAATAACATGTGTAACACACTTCCAAGCCAACCAGTTAGTGTTAGCAGATTTGGAGAAAGATTAAGATAAAAGATTGTATTGCAAATGAGTGTTTTGGGCCAAGTTGCAACCAGAGACTATGCAAAAGGATATGACCTATTAACACCCAGACCCTTTCTTTAGATATGCTGCTAGGTTTGCACACACAACGACATTCAAATAGCACAGAATATACAAGTCAAAGTGTCTCATTTCTATTTTAGTTTCTTGATCCCGATGTAAGAACAAAGTGTGTCATTATGACACTCTGTATCTCAGGGGAACACCCTGCACCCCCGTGTTCATTCTTATAATATGACTGTGTGGTATCCGATGCAAAGTTTGTCATGTCGGGTGTCTTCAGAAGGCTCATGATGCACTGAGCATTCTTGTTATAGTGATGTTATAGGTTGTAATTTCATGTATATACTTATGAGGCTGAAAATGTGTCCTCATGGCTTAAAACAAGCCCAGGCAAAACTCTCTAGGAACAAAGGGGCAGATCACACCTCATCAGGGCACATATGGGACAAACCCAGCCCAGCCTCACAGGAACAAAGGACACTGGCCTAGGCAGCAACAAAGGATCTGTCGGACTTTTGATTGACGTCCCCCCCCCCCACCTTCCCTGGTTCAGTCCACGATTACGATGAGGTAAAGCTCACCTGACCCTGAAGGGGGGAAACCAAGAGGGAAGAAAGAATATGATAAAAGGGAGACGATGTTTGCTATGCTCTTCCTCTCTCCTTCCGACCCTCATCTACAGACATCACCATCAAGCAAC